CCCAGGAGTCAAGAGGATGAAGCTCACAATGTACAAGCAGTAATTGATTCACTGGCCTTGGATTACCTGCAAGTCAGCTTGTCTCACATAACAGGTTGGTATATACTTAACCATCAAATAATTTTGCATTTTACTAAAATAATTTATTAGGTAGAACCCTATACATTGTTTAGTTAACCAAATGAGTAAGCTTATGAAGTAGACCAAACGACAACACTGAGCCAAGACAATTGACTGGTAGAATTAAGGCACCCATCCTTGAGAGGTTTTTTAGGAGTCAAACACTGAGTTTGTGATGGACCTGGATCTGAGATGTAAGTATCCTAGCTGGTCGTTTGCAGTATGTTTTTCATTCTTTTATTTTTTGTTTTGTTATTTTTTTTAAGATTTTATTTATTTGACAGAGACACAGCGAGAGAGGGAACACAAGCAGGGGGAGTGGGAGAGGGAGAAACAGACTTCCCGCTGAGCAGGGAGCCCGATGCGGGGCTCGATCCCAGGACCCTGGGATCATGACCTGAGCCGAAGGCAAATGCTTAACGACTGAGCCACCCAGGCACCCTGTTTTATTATTTTTTTAAGTAGGCTCCACACCCAGTGTGGAGCCCAATGTGGGGCTTGAATTCATGACATTGAGATCAAGACCTGAGCTGAGATCGAGAGTTGGACGCTCAACCAGCTGAGCCACCCAGGTGCCCTGTTGTTTAGTTATTTTAAAGCTAACATGCTGCTTGTTTGTAGTAGGTAAAAATTAGCAACATCTAAATGTCCACTAAATAAGGACAGGTTAAATAAGTTATGATTGCTCCATACACGGAATTACTCTGCCAATGTAAAAGATTTTTGATGATGCTCATTATGTAAAATGTTCCATATTAGTGCAGCAGTCTCCAATGTATATAGTGTCAGAAAAATGTGCATTTGATAATAGTGTGCAGAGTATGGTGCTACTTGTAGAAAATAAAGGTGAGGAGAGTAAATATGCAGTTGATTGCTTGCAGAAGGACTCTTTCAAAGCATGTGCAAGAAACCTATAATACTGATTGCTTCCAATAAGAGGAACTTCAGGGCTACAGGATGAGGGTGGGCTGAGATTTCATTATATACCTTTTGCACTTTTGAATTTTATTTTTTATTTTGTTTCATTTTTGAGAGAGACAAAGAATGTGTATGTGCAAATGCGAGGGAGGGGCAGAGGGAGAGAGAATCTTAAGCACGCTCCACGCCCAGTGTGGAGCCTAACGTGGGGCTTGATCTCAAAACCTGAGATCATGACCTGAGCCAAAATCAAGAGTCGGATGCTTAACTGACTGAGCCACCCAGGCACTCTGCACTGTTTGAATTTTAAACCCCATTAATATATTGTCTGTTCAAAATAAATAAAACTAAATTGTGAACCTTTTTCCAAAATAAAGTACATCATGCTTGTATTCTGAAGCCAGACTTACCAAATATATTTATAAATCCCTATATTTTACATAGTAAGAAAATGAGGATTATTGCAGTAAATTATTTCAAGCTAAGGAAGAGAGGGAATCTGTGGGTTTGAAACTATATTTGAATCACTAAGAGAAGGCTTACACTATTGGTTTGTTCTTTGATAGTTAAGAGAGAAATGTTAATCAGGATAGATCATTTACATCTCTCAATTTAATATTGACAGACTTTTAGAAAAATAATTTTTGAGTGCAGTTCTAGGTGAGTAAATGTGGTAAATTTGGAGATAATTCATTTTGAAGGGTAATCCAAGGATTTTCCTGTTCCTTTGTAATTTTGAATTGCTTTATCACTTGAACAGGGCAATTTCTGGTATTTGTGCTTTTAAAACCTACTATAGCAAGGTTGTATCTGCATATATAACTTTTTAACGCAGAGCTGCTCCTGACAACACACACCCACCTCATGAAAAGTTGCAAAACTGCTCACCTCTTGTGGTATACTGCACAGCATCTTTTTACTCCTTGTGTTCTGTTTAAAGCAATATCTCCTATACCACAAAGCACTTCACTCTGGCATGCCATCTTAGTTGCTGGGTTGACAGAAGATGCTCCCCATCCTGGCAACTCAGAATTTCTGAGTATGCCCTGGGGGTATACTTGTGTATCTTGTTAAGTCAGAAAAACATAAGGCTTAAGAATAATATTTCTGTTTGTTTTAAACAAAAAAACTGTCAAATGTCCATCTGTACTAGTAGTAGTGTTGAACATCACATTTCTGGTTTAGGTTTGTTTTGCGTCATGAATGAAGTTTTGAATGGCTAGATTCTCTCAAATATCAAATTTCCATTTTGCCTCTCCCTTACTGGTTTGAACTTATGAGAATTGCAGGCATGATCTCCTGAAGGACAACCCAAGTGTCTGGAGTTAAATTCCATCCATACCTGATGTTGATTAGAGTCCATTTTAGGTGACACTAAGCATGCCAAGTTTCCATGCTTTTACCAACCCATTTCTTGTCAATATTTCAATTTAGCATTTATTAAAGATTTATTATGGGCCAGGTATTGTGCTAGGGATTGTTTAAAGATTAACTTCTGGGTGTAAAGTGGATGCGGTGGGAGATTGGACTAGAGAAGTTGGGGTGAGGTGAAATTAAAAAGGGTTTTATATGAATGGACAGTTTTAAGAAAATTCATTATTGAAGTATAGTTGACACAAAGTTATATTGGTTTCAGGTGTACCACATAGTGATCCAACAGTTCTGTATATTACACAGTACTCACTGTGATTAGTTACCATCGGTCACCATACAGTTCTAATTACAGTATTATTGACGTTATTCCCTATGCCTTACTTTTTATCTCTGTGACTTGTTTTATAACTGGAAGTTATACAAACTGTATACAAAGTTATACAAATTGGAAGTTTGTATGCATAGGCAATTTTTAATTAAGAAAATGACATGATGCATACAAAATGAACAGAAGTTAATAGAAAAAATGAGAGATTCCTGACGAAAGTATCCCAACAAACTTGTTTTGTTTTTATATTACTCTGCTGCTGTTATCTTCAGAACAAACCACCATCTAGAAGTAGGATCTCACAATCTGAAACTGTGTTCTCTCATGCCATTTTTTTTCACCAGCCTAATAAAGTTCTGCTTAGATGCTTTATATTTTGGTATAAATATTACTAGGGGATGTTTTCTTAAGTCCACTTACTTTGTTTCTTGATACAGGAAGGAATATGCCAGTTAATTATCAAACATTATATTCAAGGCTGCTGCTTTTGTTTCTTCAAATATAATTAGGTATCAGAAAATTCATGTTTTGGGGTGCCTGGGTGGCTCAGTTGGTTAAGCGGCTGCCATCAGCTCAGGTCATGATCTCAGGGTCCTGGGATTGAGCCCTGCATTGGGCTCCCTGCTCAGCAGGGAGTCTGCTCCTCCCTCTGCCCCTCACCCTGCTTTTGTGCTCGCTCTCACGCTCTCAAGTAAATAAATAAAATCTTTAAAAAAAAGAAAAAAATTCATATTTTTAATATTTATATTACTGTTTTTCCTGAGTTAGTTTACAGTTCTTTTATCTAGAACAGTACATGGTGGTATATTCATTTCAAAATTATGAGGCTTTCAATTTCTTGGTTAATATTTTTAATTAGCTCTATCCTGTGTTTAGGAGAAAATATAGTGAAAGGAGATAAAGAATCTATTAAGAATCTGCTAGAAATATTTGATGGGTTGCTGGAGTATCTTACAGAACACATCAGTG